AGCGATACAGCATTGAAAGGCATGGAAAGCGAAGTTGATATCTTTTGGAGGTAAAATAATACTTATTTTTTGTAGATTTTATTTCGTTTTTATTTCAAAATATTGATTGTGGATTTTAATGTTTCTGGATTTTAATGTTGTCCTTAAAGATCAGTCAAGAATTGACTCTGTATTGTTAATTTCAGTTTACCCCGTATTTTCGCACAGATTTGCGAAGCAACGTTACTTCTACCAGTAGTTGCAGATTATTTACATATGCGAAAAATTTTACACGCATTATAGCGCTGCGAGAATTCTCGTGAATGTTTGCATCGAGATTTCTCGCAAAATTCTTGTGTATCGAGTAACGCGAAGCGCGTTTCGAGAAGCCTATCGAGCGAGCGAGAATTTTTCTCGAGTGGGTTTCGAGATCTCGATACTCGAAACATTTTCCTCGATAGCATCGAGCGAGAATGGTTAACTTTCATTAGGGCCGTACTGTATATGCAATAGTCACATTTCAACCCTCAGTTCATTCTAGTCGGACTGACAGAAAACCGCTCTTTTTGCCACTCATATTTTGCCACACTAAACGATTTGCGTAATTTATTAATGAAGTATAATTTAGACCTAAAACTTAACTTTAGTTGGAAGCTCAGAAGAAACATTCACAAAGACAGGCTTTCGTACATGGAAAATGCATATTCTGTCAATGGAGCGCATGCAGAACTTTAACTCAATTCGATCCACCAATATTGATTTCTAACGTATATGACGGAAATATTAAAGAACAACGCGAGTATTTACAGTAGAAATACGAAAATACCACCAAAAAATTCCGCTTGATCGATACTATATATTCCGAAATATTCGTATAATTTTATTGTTTCTCGCTCAATTTCAAGCGAATTTCTTACCTTGAAATGATCAATGTGGTGAAATTTATGCAAATGACGCATTACCAATTTTGCTGTTGCATTTTGAATGTTCTGCCTGATTCAAATGCTTGTATCTTTGCTTCTTTTCAACGTATAATAAAGACAAATATATTAAAAGAATCACCATCTTATATTCTATAGCTCGGAGCAGTCTTGGGAAATTGCAAAATAATCTATGCCTATTATGGCGATTCTCGTGGTCGAAAAGTGTTCGGCCAACTTCGTACGCCAAATTCTTGGTAAAGCACTACAGTTTCCTGGTAAAAGACTGCAGAAATCACTTCCGGAGTGTTTTTTTTACCCTACATACGGATTTTGATTGGCTTAGGCAGAAAAACAAACCTTTTAGAGCAATTTTCCTGATTATCGCCCATGAGCGTTGTAATGTATTGTGTTGTAATTGTATTGTTTGAATCGCATCCTCAAGATGTTCTTGGCCTTATTTTGCAAACTGATTGTGCTAGTGATGACAGAATGTCTTCGTACGAAGACAAGTATCTCAACCTGGCATTGGGAGTCGTGTCTGGAGTTTCAAGCCAAGTATTTTGATCATTTTTAGACATTCCATTTCAATGTTTTGCCGTTGCCATGGTGTTGTAAATTTATTTGCATTTAGTATAGCTTCACTAGTACGACCATGTATGTCCTCATATCGCATTTTTTGTGTTGACATAATCCTTCCATACTGAAATTGACAAATATAAATGGTATTTATTTATATTGTTGACGAAAATTTATGGTGTTTTAGGCATAAAAAAGTCTGATTCCTACGCAAAGTAAAATGACCCTTGAGCACATGTTTGGTTGTTTGTTACATACATAATAGACCAAGACATGGCGAGGGGCAAAATCTGGGAGAATATTCCTAGTGGGGGCCTAGTGGGGGTGCTAGACAGGGAGCTTTCAAAACCTTGGGTCCTAGTGGCTGTGCTTCCCTCTACGTCTACTCATCCCCCTACCTTCCCTCTACACTTACACGTTTTCCTAATGGGGGTTGGGGAGTGGGGTTCTCGTGACTCATCAGAACTGCTACTTCCCTGAGATTATGAAACCGGAACAGCAGCTAGGAACAGGATCAATATCTTCGGCACTGCAAATAAAAACATTTTTTATAGACATAATTTATATGGCACCACTTGAAATTATAATGAGCCAAACTAGTAAGATATAAGTATGAATGCATTTCGATCAAGCTTTCACCAGAAGTATGAACTGTGACCTTGAGTTCATTCAGCTCTTTTTTACTAAGGGAATGCTTCAGGAGGTACAATCCTGGACAAAACCATCTGCGACACTCCAGTAAAATCCTGCTCGTGAACGTTAATCTCTACAACAACTGCAATATTTCTCAATGTAAGGCCCCCACCACCCCCATCCCCCTCCCCACCACCCCCAGAACAATGTTGAACATATTACCATTACTTTACATATGTTGTGGGTCAGCAATCAACATTGAATGGTGGGGGAAGGGGGGAGGTTTTGCGATGATGGTAGAAAAGTGTGTGAAAAACTGAAAGTGTCGCAGATGTTTTGTCCAGGATTGTCTGAATAGCGCCTACATCAAATACATGATTTTAACGTCTTTCACACAAAATTTTCCAAATATTTTGGTCAGCGGGAATGTTTGAGAGAATAGTATATTCATAATGACGTCAAATAATTGATTGATTTAATTAGATACATCATCAATACATTACCATAGCTATACAGAGAAACAATGTGCGGTACGAGACTTTCTCCTGAGAAGGTCGCATATTTGTTGCTTTTGCTTAATGAAAAGCAGTGGAATGTTACAGAAATAGCAAAGAAATTGAATATATCGCGTTCTAGCGTGTACCGTTATAAAAATTCCGGAAAATCTGATTTGAAAAGAGGGAAAATACCGACACGTAAAGGAGGCAGGCCTAGAAAGTTGAATGAGAAAAACGTGCGAAATTTGATTAGGTGCTTGAAATCGTTGAGAGAACGAGAAGGAACATTTACCTCCAAACGGCTGGCTAAAGAAGCGGGAATTGATTGCAGGAACGTCTGCATGAGAACAGTTCGGAGAGCAATGAATAAGGAAGGGTTTAAATACTTACAAGCCCGCAAAAAGGGAATTCTTAAAAAAACTGACCTGAAAAAGAGGCTTTCTTTTGCCAAGAAAATGAAGAAGGGATTCAGCAAAGATGTGTGGACAAAAGACATTAATTTCTTTTTGGATGGTGTAAGTTTTGCCTATAAAAGAAATCCATTCGATCAGGGAAGTTCACCTAAAGGACGAATTTGGTGAAAACCAGGGGAAGGCCTCGATTATGGATGTACGGCTAAAGGAATGAAGGAAGTGGTGGCAAAATGGTCAAATTAATTGTGGCCATCTCATTTGGGAAAGGTGTTATTGACTGCGAGCAGTATGATAAAATGAACAGGACTTTTTTTAAAGATTACATCAGGCGTAAATTTCACACATTATTTAAATCAGCCGGGAAATTGCATTCTAAACTGTGGATCCAAGATGGAAATCCTAGTCAAAACAGTTTTACAGCCAAACTCGCCTTGGGCGAATGCGGGGCAGACTTGCTATCCATACCGTCTAGAAGTCCGGATATAAATCCGATCGAGAACCTATTTCATCTCGTAAGAACGGAGCTGGACAGACAAGCAATCAGCGGAACTATAGAACGTGAGACATACGAGGAATTTTCAACAAGAGTTTGCAATACTTTTAAATCGTTTCCTAGCGCATGTATTGATAATATTATACAATCAATGGACAAACGAATGACCATGATTATAAGTAGAAAGGGACAAAGAATCAAATATTAGTTTCATAATTCAATTTATTCTAAAACTAAACTATATAATGTGTAGCTATGTACATGTAAAAATACGCATCATTGAAGTAAACACAACATTTGTCAATTGAGCCTGATTATTGAATTACCACGGAATCATAGTATCGGTGTACCATTTCCCAGAGTAAAAAAATAGTAATAATAGTCCCATGTTTCTGAAATAATATTACGAAATTACATGCAGTTAAGAGTATACATAATGCTTAGCATTTTCACATATCTTATTCAATATATATTGAATTCGTTGCCTATCTATACACGGTGTACCATTTGAGACATAAAAAGTATATTATATATATATATTCTTAAACGTACACAATGTACCATGGTACACCATGGATTGTGCATGCGTCATTTTGCATGCATATAATGATGGTAATATAAGAAGCCTATTTGACAGTCAGCTAATTGAAAAAATACGTGTCTAATAAACGCATTGTTTTTGTAAGTGTTTTCCATGTCCACGTTATGTCACATATGCTGTTCTTATTAACTTACAATTATTCTATTATATTACGTACATTACACACTAAAGAAGCAAAACAACGAGGGCATGGTTTTATTTCTGTTTGCCGTTCCAATGGTATTTGCTTGTGGTGTGTGAATATATTCCAACGAACTGTCATCATTTCAGTCTCACGCTCATCAACTATCACACCTCTGACGTAGGACAATCTATTTTTGCTTGTCGCAAATACCGGCGTGTCTACATCTAACAAAATATCCTCGGCGAAGTGGGTTTTAGGTGCGGGAAAGTGTACAGGTTCGCCTTCAAGCAATAAAAGTAGGTCATGCCAAGGGATTATTCTGTCATTCCAGCGAAAATCGTTGAGAAATATGATTTCAGCGTCCAACCCACGCGAAGGTACCAGAAGCAGGATTAGTGAACGTGTGATATATCGCACTTAAGGGTTTTAGTAAAAACGTTTTACCGCAATTTGCTGGACCAACAAGCATAATATTTCGATATTTCCCTCGTCCTTTTTGTAGTAGTGCATAGATAGCAAGAGCAAAATCTCTAACTTCCATGCCATTGGTAACCAGGACTACTTCAGCGCAACATAACCAACGACCTTCACAGCCCTCGACTCATTCACTTCGGACAGCCTCCGTAAGCAATTCCATGCGTGTCTTATTGGCTCTTTCTAACTTTGCCTGAGCATTAAACATGTCCCACGTAGTTCTCAGTATATGCGAAACAGTTTTTGGTTGTCGGTTCATAATAAATTCGGCAAGGTCAGATTTCCCCTCATCTTTCTGTAGTTGGGCTAAAAGCGAGCAGTTGGGTACGAGTCTTTATGGACTTTGACTGAATAATATCCGCTACTTCCAATGACGTGAGCCTCTTTTTACGTTTTCTCGATCTTTTCCCCGTCGCATCATCTCCTTCGCTATCAGATTCTTCTCTTCCCTCGACTATTGCAGCACTAGCAGAATCAGTCTTCGGTGGTTCGCCATTCGTCAAATCTGGATGACCATCACTTTGCGAGTACTCACGATTCGTCTTTGTAACATATTGCCAAGCACTAAAATAGTTGTGATGAACGGATGAAAAATGTACCGAAATATTGTAGTCGTCTAACAAGAATTTCTTAATTTTAAGCCATCGTTGTTTTTTTTAAGCTTGATAGCAACATGATAATGCTTGCCACCATCCTCGTGGTCTTCCAAACAACAGCACCATTGTATAACACTATTATCCTTGCTAAACGCAAGAACTAATGCTTCAGCAAATTCCTCTCGAGAGCTAAATTTTGTCAAGTCTGCTTGACTATAAGTTACAAGATAGACCAATCTATTATCTTGTGGGCCAATACAACCACTTGCCATTGCAGTATGCGTTGAATTAATTGCTAACGTTTTGAAACAGATATTCATGGGTTCTAAAATTGATAGGTCATTATCGCCCACTATAATTAGGGACAATATAAAAAACAACAGGAAACTAAAGCTGGAAAGACCTACTTAACAATTTGATGTGATCATAGTGATAAGTTACGCCTAATATTGAGTTTCATTAGATTGTAATGCATTCTTTCATTTTCCATGAAAAGAGACAATCCTGGACAAAACCATCTGCGACACTCCAGTAAAATCCTGCTCGTGAACGTTAATCTCTACAACAACTGCAATATTTCTCAATGTAAATCAAGGAAAACACTGTCAAATCAACACTGTCAAATCAAGGAATAGGTTGGGGATTAGGCAGTTCATGAAAGATGGCCTACTATGTGGGGGATAAATCTGTGGGTTGCTGCAGACAGTACTAATGGTTATATTACGACTTTGAGATTTATACAGGAAGAAGTCCAGAGATTCATCGCAGCATGGATTTGGGTATGACGTGGTGATGTGATATAAGTTTGGTTACAGTCTTGGGTCTTTTGTGGTCCAATATATATTTTGTGCAAAAAAAAGGGAAATATTTTCACCACATAATCCAATTATGGGCCTGGGAAAACATTACTTTTTTATAACTACTAATGATGACGCCAGCCCAACAACACCTGGTCATGCTATATGCAAATATTTTCGTGTTCTAGATTGTGAAAACAATCAATTTCTAAAGAAATGAGTAATGATGATTATTTAAAATTTGAATAGCATGACCAAATTTTCAGGCTGCTTATGCCACTGATAACTAAGTCAATGGTGTACTGATTATCTAAGAATGTATATAGTAACCATAGAAATAAAGACATTTTGCAAATAGTGATTTGAGTGATCTTTTGTGGGTATCTCAGACTTATTTTGGTGCCATACTATCCTTGCCCTTGGAGAGTAAGAAATATTGGAAATTTGTATTGATAATATGTTGCAGCAATGAAAAAGGACCTTTGATAAGGGTATTTGTTTCACGTGAGCACAAAATGTAAATTTTACTCCACTACATAGTTTATTCAAAAATTAAATAAAAATACTTCCATTTATGCTACATGCATGAAACATCGGGTACTTGTAGATCACAACCGTGTCTTTCAGTTACATTCATTTTTGACATATTTGAAATTTGAACTAGTAAATACATTTATGCATAATTGCAACATTTTTTTATATCATAATTTATGCAAATTTATCCATGTAAATTGTTAACCAAGCTCAGAATGAAATTGAAATTATATCGTTGTTAAGTGGAAGTCCTCCTCTTTAGAACGATGCAATTTCTGTTTCCATACGATGTATAGTTTGAAAGATATATGCGTTTAAAACAACACCACTCAAAATTGCTACTTTTCGACCGGATGAGAATGAGTTAAAAGTGACAACCAACATACTGATGTGAACTTGTTGGCATAGCTGAAGCTTCAAAGACAAGAAAAGAACAAGAACGAGAAGAAAATCGACAAATTGTCCACACGATTTTTGATGTAGTCCGACATTTGGCAAAGCAATCATGGAAACTTCCTGGAAGAAGTTTTGTTTCTATCTAAGTATGATAAGCCATTGAAACGGATGGAAAATCACCCAAAGAATTTGTCATATTTTTCTCGCAGTATTCAGAATGAAATGATTGGCATCCTCAGCAATATGACTGAAATAATAAAATCTGAAATGATTTCTGCCAAGTATTTCTCAATTGAATGTGACAAAGTAACATCCCACAAACGGGCATTTATGTCTGTTATTGTTCGGTAAGTCTATGATTATTGTATTTGGGAAAGGTGTATCAAGCTACATCGTGACTAATTTAACACGACAAAGCCTCGCAGCTGTTATCAGTGCTATTCTTGCAAACATGAACTTTCCTATCTGCAATTTAGTTGGTAAAGGCTTTGATGGGGCAAGTAATATGTCAGGCAAGGACGAAGGTGTTCAACAATATCTCACCACAGCTGGTGCTGATAAATCGATATATTTCCATTGTTTTGCACACAAACTAAACCTAGTCTTAGAGAAGAGTGTTGACAACGTACCTTCTGTGAATGACGTATTTGATACGATTGGTTCCGTCTATCATTATCTTGAAGGGTCTCCGAAGAGGCATGCATTGTATGAAGAGAAGCTACAAGTTCATGGCATATCGAAGGGAAAGATAGCATTGCACACGCTTTCAGACACAAGATGGACTGCTCGATCCAACAATTTGGAGGTTGTTTTCAACACCTTGCCTGCTATCATATCGATGCTAAAGCAATGTCTGAAGAGGGCGAATTAGCTGCAGATGGATTGCCCATATGTATGCAAAAGCTCAAGTTCATTGCTTTGTGTATTGTATTGAAGAAGTGTTTTGCTCTAAGTAGATCGGTCTCAGAATATATTCAGCACGAAAACATGGACTTGGTTTCAGTGGTGTCAGGTGTGCAATCTCTGAAAGATTTTTTGTCCTCTTTTCTAAACGAGGAAAAGATGAATCAGTTTCTGAAGGAGGCACAGAAATATTGTACGGACCAAGGATTGGTTGTGGACAACTTCGATCAGGTGGATCAGCAACATCCAAACAGACCAAAGCATTGGCGCACAATTCCTTCCTATTTCATCAATGGTACATTCTGTTTAGACCAAGACTACAGAGCAATGCAAGAAAAAATACCTGGTAATGACAGCCCAAGAGATCTCGTTAAGTGAGTTTTTTGTTCCCATTTTTTGACTGGATGCACAACGAGCCGGAGAGGAGGTTCTCTTCTAAAGAAATATTGTCGCTAGCCAACATTTTTCATCCCAAATATTTTAAAGAAGAAAATTTGCACCAAGCCCAAAAGCTACGAATTCTACAGAATTCTACGGAATTTATCCCGATGTTGTCATAAATCAGTTCATTCTATTTTCTAAGTCTCATGAAATTAAAGTCTGGAAAGAGAAGTAAGAATTTCTTAAGATGAAAGAGAAAGCTAACAATGATCGAAAGCACCCGAGACTCTGGCAACTCTTTTAAAGGTTTTTGGAGAAAATTCAATCGGCAACCTGTATCCTGATCTGTTTGAGGTGGTAAAAATTATTGCTACTCTTCCTGCAACAGTTGCTTCCTGTGAACGAGCACATAGCAAAGTGAAGATAATAAACAACTACCTTCGAGCGTTGGATGTCATTAAGAACTTTGTATTTTTTTACCCTTTAAGTAGCATTGCACCCTACTTTATATTTTTACTCTGTCTAACACCAGACAATTTTACTCATCAAGGGGAGAGTGCTGCCACTCAATGGGTGAATGTAGCCTGAAGAATACGTACACCCAATATAGTCTCTACAATCAGGAGCAAAAATTATTGAGACAACCACATAAATGCCCCCCTCACCCCCAATGGACAACTCGCATTATAGATTTCGGGCCGCTAAGCATGACGGTAGGAGGCTGTAGGCTGCTTCCAAACGAAATGGCCGCCGTGGGAGCGGACGATTTTGTTTGGAGGAATATATGGCGGATTTTAAACTATTTATTGCATCGATCGATACGTTTTTTGTTATGGAACATAACAAGGGCGCTTTTCGCTATATTCTGGGGAAATTTGTGGAATTTCTGTCCATTAGCGGCCGAGAAAATGCGTTGAGAGTGGCACGTCTTGTAAACATGCCTTGCAGAAATTTGCTCGCGAAAATCTAACCTTCCCAACTAAAGCAGGTGAGTTGGCGTTTCAATATGCGATCGGCTAAATATTATTTCAAAATAAGATGCTCTGATAGTTGTTTGTATTCGATCTCATAGTTGTTTTACATGTTCGCGTGTCGAAATGGCATTTTAAGCTTCGCGAAATTTACAACTTTTGTCACGATTGTGTTCAAATTTGCCATTGGACGTGCCCTCACTTCACCTAATGTTTTACCTTTGTTTTGGCGCGAAAATACCCTGAATTTAAATAAGCAGCCTTCAATTGTAGCAAGAAAATTTAAAAATAAAAGATTTTTCTGGGTTTACTGCTGTTGTTTGTCCTCTAGCTGAAGTGCAATTTGGTTCGTGTCCTCCATTGTTAACTTTTTTAAATTACTCGTGAGTTCTAGAATAATTTTAGGTAAATAAATTTAGGTATATTCAAATATTTAACTTTTTAGGCCTTCTTAAAGTCGTTTTAGATTTTGTCTATAAATTTTTGGATAGGATATAAAAATATTTAGTTAAATTATAAATAGTAAAATTAATATTTAGGGTATATATTTAAATTTGTTAATATTGTAAATACTGTAAATACATGTAATATATTTTAAAATTGTACAGTTTAGGTCAGTTTTTAAACGAGTATTTAAATTTATTAAATATGGAGGTTGAACCTAACACTTCACTTGAGGTGAATAACACTGAAAATGATGAAGTCAGTGAACAGGTGTGGAAAAGATTTTGCTGTATACCACAATGTGAAAGCAACAATCGAAAAAAACCGGAACTGTCTTTTCATAAGATTCCAAAAAAATCCTGAGTTAAAGAAAAAGTGGGTACGACGTTTGAAAAGAAAAGGTGTACGAGAGCCTGGTCCCAGTCACAGGGTGTGTTCATTGCATTTTGTGGAAGGCAAGAAAACATACATCAACAACATTCCAACAGTTTTTGCAACAACAAATAAAACCAAGAAAAAGCCCTGCTGTAAGAGTAACAGTTGACAATCTAAATAATCCACAATATTCATCAAGTGAAACAAGTATAGCAGTAAGAGATGATGCAGATACTTCAACCAGTGCAGTTATTAATGAGAGTAATTCTACTTCTACAGTTGTTGAGACTGAGGATCCAATAAATAAACTTAAGGAGGAAATAGTTATACTTGAGACAGATAAACTACAACTACAAAAACAGCATGAAGAAGATACAGAGAAATTACAATTAAGTGCATTTCGATTAGAAAGATTTATAGGCCAGTGACAGTGACTTTAGATTTTATACTGGATTTCCAAACTATTCAAGTTTTATAGCATTTTATGATTACCTTTCTCCAGCCTGTGAACACCTTATGTACCATGGTTCAAACACTGCTCCTATAACTTCTGAATCGCAAATAAAATGTTGCAAACAACGATCTATGTCCCCAGAACAGGAATTATTCCTTGTACTTACAAGATTACGTTTGGGGTTACTTTTGCAAGATATTGCTCACAGATTTAACATCTCACCAACCAGTGTTTCTCGCATTTTTAAAACATGGATTCCCTTTTTGCATCAACGTCTTCGTGCCCTCCCAATTTGGCCCAGTCGTAAATTCATTGAAGATAACATGCCTTCCTGCTTTAAGCAAGTCTATCCTAAAACCAGAGTTATTATTGATTGTACTGAGTTTTTTATTGAAATGCCATCATCATGTAGAAGTCAATCAATCACATTTTCAAGCTATAAGAATCATAACACTGCCAAGGGTTTGATTGGAATTTCACCAAATGGATATCCAAGTTTTGTTTCCAACTTATATGCAGGTAGAACTAGTGACAAGAAAATCACTCGTGACTGTGGGATTCTAAATCTACTAGAGCCAGGAGATGAATGTATGGCAGACAGAGGTTTTGACATTGAGTCTGACATGCCAAATGGGGTACTCCTAAATATTCCACCATTTTTAGATGGACAACCTCAGCTTTCAGCTGAAGATGAGGCAAAAACTAGAAAAATTGCATCAGTTCGGGTGCATGTCGAGCGTGCAATTGCACGAATAAAAAACTATAGAATATTGCAGCAAGTAATTCCTTTGACACTGGCTGATAACCTTGACCAAATCTGGGGTGTTTGTTCCTATTTAACATTGTTTTTGCCTCCCATTATTAAAGAAAAACAATCATAGACTGTTAAAGTTGTGTGATAACTTCTAATACTGCAAGTCCTCAATTGTACTGTATGCATGTGCTTTATGTGCACATAAGTTATATTATAAAAATGTTATAACAGTGTTTAATTAATGTATACAGTATTATATCAACTGTGCAGAGTTTATTAATTACAATTCTGGTAACAAATATTCTGAATAAAAACAGCTTAGCTCTGGCACAATTTTATGCCAGAAGTCACAGTCGAAATGGATTCTCTCAACATGTAAATCAATATTTGTAAGAACAACAAAGTCACACCAGGTCACATTTAGTGTGGCCATGCACCCTTGGATTTGGTAGTAATAGTTATGTGTCTTTTTTAGTTGGATTTTTCCATTCACTATGCCCAAGTAAAAGTTTTTGTCTTTGCATGCTTCCTCTATGCAAACATCCTTTTTTGAGAAAGGGCACTTAACTTCACCAATGCCGAAGGATTTCTCTTCTGTATGATCAAAAACTAGAAAATCTGGACTTGCTCCTAACCAAGGAAACTCAATGTTAACGACAAAACCACATTTCGAGCATACATTAATACCCCGTCCTTCATTGTTTTTAAATTTGCAGTATTCTATAATAGCCTTCCCTTCCTTATCTTTTCCCCATTGACAAGGTTCTGGACACTTAGCTTGTTTGGACTGATTTTGGATTTTGTTTAATAGTGACGTTGGGAAAATTGTTTTTCTTCTCTTAACTACTGCACCGAAATTTGACGAAGTGAGTCTCTTATGCCGCTCCTCAAACCACTTGTCACTTGAAGATTGATCCCTGGTATTTTTTTCAATCTGGAGTATTTCTGAATGCGTAATATTTGTAGAATGTTTCAATTTCT